GCAATACAGGTGGTCTTGATATTGAAATACTAGCAAGTTTCTGTCCTCATGCTCGCTCTTTCAGGAATGTGCTTTGGCCCTTGCGAGGCATCAGAATGTTCATTTACTTCAGGTGGAGCGTTTGGTTCAGGGCAACGGGCCTTGGGCCAGCCCAGCCTTACAGGCAATCCTCAGTGAGTCCAGTTTACCTCAGAGTGAAGGTATGTAACGTGGGAAGTATACACACCACTGACATCATTACCTCTCTAGCTACTGACTACACAAAGTAAGTTAATTCCTCAGATTTGGCTCTTGTGTATATTAATAGCTTATTTGAGTCCATCTCACACTTTTCCTGAAAGCTCCCGTAAAGGTGTGTCTGCGTGTTGCTTTGCATTTGACCTTGTGTAGGTAAAGTAAATTAAAACCATGCTTAACTATTCCTCAGTGGATGGGTGCATCAGTTCTGAGCTGCCGGTGTTCTTTGAGCTTCGGGTGCGCTACCTCTTATCCTGTGAGCGGGTCAGTGAGGCTATGGCCCTGGCTAAGTGTTGTGCTTGGCATCCCACAGCAGGACAACACTTGTTCTTCCTCCAGGTCTACCTCACTTGGCTTTCCAAAACTTCACAGTATGACAGCCTACACAAAGAGGTGGGTGGTCTGTTGTATGCTGAAGACTAGCATGTCTTTCGGTCAAATGGCATTTTTGCTTCAGTCTGTTGTACCTGTTGCTTTAGTTTAACTAATCCAAAATTGTATTCTAGAGAACAATCTTCTGGGCTAAACTGATGCTTTCATTGTCCTGTTTTTCAGGTGGCAGACCTTAATGGTAAAGATGCAATTCACATCATCTGTAGTTTGGAGTGTGAGGAAAAGGATGAGTTGCTACTTGCCCTTAGCAGAGCCTTCCTCTCTGAGCAGCTCCACAGGGGAGACATGTACCATTTGTGGTAAGGAAACATACATGTGATGCTAAGGTAATGAGAAGTCAGTAAACACCAACTAAGGCCTTATGAGGTTCCTAATTTCTACAAAAATCGTGGCAGCCATGTTATACATTTATTTACGCCCCGTTTAAGTAAGCATTACAATCCATGTTTAACTCTTTTCTTTGCAGCGATCTTGTCTTCATATGGAGTAAACTTCATAGTCGGTTGAATACATCCAAGCAAGATCTTCTTGAGGAGAGTCGTCAGCTGATGTTGTCTGCAACCAATGTCAGCTCAATCTTCCCATTCATCAGAGCCATACTACAAGAAGTGAGACCAAAATTCAAACTGCAGTGTATTTTTATAAGATTATATAAGTAGATGTGTACATTTCTCTGTGTATTGCTATGAATATTTTGCAAGTCCATTGTTTGTATCTCACTAGCTGGGTGAAGATGGTATCCAGTTCTGTGTGGAGCTTTGTGCTAATGCCCTGGAGTCTTGCCTTCCCTGTGATGTCGTCACCAAGTCCCTAATCTACAAAACCATTGCTGGCCTGCTACCCAATGACCTGGAGGTTTGCCGGGCGTGTGCTCTTCTTGTCTTCTTCCTGGAACGCACTGTTGAGGCCTACAAGATGGTGTATCTCCTCTACATGCATCCTGATCAGGAGTATAACGTGGAGTACAGCCCCATCAGAAATCATATTCGCTTCGAAACCCTGCAGGTAGAGTTATTGCGGGGTTTTATTTTTTTTATTTATTTTTTTAACAAATCATGACAGAGAAAAGGCATAGTTTATGATTCTCACTCTGTCCACGTGAGCAATACAAAATTGGTATATGACATTGTTGCTTGCTCTTTCTATGTCTCCTCAGATCTTGAAGAAGGATCTGTATTTTGACCCAGAGTTTTGGAACCTCATTGCTTTGCGGACCAACTGTTTGAAACTGATGAGTGAGAAGGTGGTTAGCGCTGCCCTTGAAGAAATCATGGAGGACAAATGGATCCTTAACTATTGCACCAAAGAACCTGCTCTTCGATCGAGCTCGTCAGCATGTCATAACAGAAGTAAAGGGGCACTTCAGGTGGCAGCTAAGAAGCGGCACCATAAAGAGGACAGACATCGCAAAGAGGATACTGATGCTGCATCCAAAAGATTAAAAGTGGGCACCGGCAAAACACGGCTACATTGTGAGAACACTGTAAAGAAGAAAGGCAAGGACTCATCATCTGAACCTTTGAGGCGTTCATTTTGGCAGCTAGACAAGCTACAGGACAATGTAGCCGTTGGGTATGGAGATCTAAGACGCACGACACGACTCTCGGAGAAGAACCCACCAAAACGGAGGATTAGAACACCTAAGTGGCTTTTGGAAGACTCAGGAACTCTCGAAGGGAATAACGTTTCTCCAAAGATCAAAAGGCATGGGTTGAAACATCAACAGCACCATCGATCCTCTGCCGGAAAGAGGTCTGAAACTGATCAGATCAAGAACAGTGCAAAACACAAACCTTCAGTAAACTCTGATTTTATGGCGAGGGAAAACAACAGGAAGAACCAGAAAGGCTTTTCTTTGGACTGTCAAAAAACAACCACCCCTCCACAAGTAATTCTTGAGCTCTCCCTACCAGACAATGAATTGATGGGGACATTTATTGAGGACACCTGCAACAGACAGAGAGGGTTCCCTCAAGTGCTTTTTTACAAACCTACAGTGAAGCTTCCTGCCACATCACAACCTGTGAAGACTGTGCATCGCAAAGAGGTTATTCTTAGAGCGCGGGACCCAGTTATGTTTGCACAACAGTTGCACTGTTATGCTCGGCGGCAGAAAGGGAAAGGTAATGGGCTGAATATTCAAGGCTCGGTATCAACAATCACGCGCTCCTCTGTGCAAGGAAGTCCTCCAAAAGATCCGCAGAGAGAGCTCTGTGGAAAGCCTGCTGCTGAGATGATTTCCTCTCAGACGTCAGCAACAGCTGAAGAGACAGAATCCCCAATTATAGAAACAGTCCTTCAAGCTCACAGCACGAGAAAAGTCTTGCAAACCCTCACTTCAACAAGAGAGCTCCCCAAAAAGCCTGCTGCTGAGATGAAAGCTACCAAAACGTCACAGACATCAACAGCAACTGAAGTGACAGAACCCTCGATGTTAAATAAGCCAGTGCAAGCCCAAACCATAACTTCAGCAAGAGAGCTCTGTGAAGATTCTGCTGTTGAGATGAAGGTTACCATTGCCTCACAAACCCCTAAAGTGACTCAATCTGCAGGTTTAGATAAAGTCTCTAATGCTCAAACTATAACAGATGCATCAAAAACTTCAGCTGAGGTTTCTCAGACTTCACCTGTCGACAACAATCAGACAGTAGTTACTGATGAATTCCCTCCAGTGTCTAATATGGCCACCATGTCAATCATCGGAGCTGCTGGTCCCAAGGGAAATGGGAAACAACAAGTGATGTCACTTTCCTCTCTGGATCAAACAAGCAAAAATCCTGGAGCCCAAGCAAAAGCAGGCACTGCAGAGGTGCTCCCCTCTCTAAGGAACAGCATTTCCGACGTGGATGTGACAGACGTTTCACTCAAGCTAGCAAAAGGACATGTGGCTTGTGAAAAAAATACAAGCCTTGGAGAAACAATGGTCACTCTAAGTAAGACAGAGGTTTCTTATTCGCCTACAGATCAGGACAATATAAATGACATATCTGCTCTGACATTAGTAACAGAAATGGTTACTGAACTTGCACCTGGGGCACTTTCTCGAGATCTGGAGAATCACAAACAGCCAGCTCCAGAGGACAATACCGCCAAGGAGTCGTCAGCAGGAAGTAAACCTAAAGTTGCTCATAACGCAAGATTACGCACTACCTCCAGCTGCTCTGCATCAGAACTGGGGGCCTCTGCATTTGCTGACGCGCAAGGGAAGAAAGTGGGAACACAGGATAGTGCACCAGAAGCATCTGAGAACGATGAACCTATAGATACATCAGAGGAAGCCAAGTTGGAGTACTGTTGTACCTTCTGCAACAAGGTGTTTATGGGAAGGCGGGTTGTAGCACACGCCATGTTCCATTATCGTAAAGACGAGTGCATGTTCTGTGGGACAATGTTCAAAGATGACCTCTTGGCCATGATGCACCTGTCTAATCATATTGAGAAGCTAAAGAAGAGCAAAGGGTCAGCTGGTAACACTGCCCAACAAAACGGGGTCTCTGAGACCAAAGATATCTCCACACCTAAGACCTCGGCCAAAGTTAAGTCCACAACCGTGTCTTCAGGGCGCCGGAGCAGTGGCAGGCAGAGGAAATCTGCTGTCTGTCCTAAATCAGTAAGCCTTCCAGATTCAACCCCATCTGGATCCAGAAAGTTAAGATCCAATGACAAGTCAGTGGATGGTTCATCTTTACAAGAAAAGAAAGGGAACGCGTCAACGCACCTTAGTAATAAAGCTCCTGTTTATAAGGTCAATGGGCATATTGCCAAAAAGAAAATGCTTGACAGACCGAAAAAGGACGCCTTAAGCTCGGAAGCTAAGCAGCCACTTACACAGCAGAAGAGTGGTGGAGCTGAGAATCCCAAGTTGCAAGAAAACCAAGAAACTGAGATGGATTCCTCTGCGACATCAGCTCTGGTGGACACACAGGTTGGCCGTTCCACTGAAAGTAAAATTAAGTCAGCCACAAAACACGATGGGAAAGTTGTTGAAGAGAAGAATGTGGAGCCAGAAGAGAAACTTTGCTGTCCTGTGGATGGTTGCGTCTGGTTTACAGACCTGTCAAAAAATCGTGTTGCACTCCTGTACCATGCTCTCGAAGATCACTACGGTGAGGTCAAACCTTTAGAATTGGCGTTCCATGTCGGGAACAGCAGATGTAGTATTTGCATGAGGGTTTTGTGGAGTTTCGAACATTTTCAGCACCATGTTGAAAGACACAGACTCGCTCCTCGGCATCCTTGCCCTCACCAGGGTTGTACTGCAAGGTTCAAAACCGGGATGGAAATGAGACGGCACGCCAGGAGGCATAGTCCGCTGCAGGCAGTGTGCTGCCTCCCTGGTTGTTCTCAACTATTTATTTGTCTCTGGGCACTGAACCTTCATGAAAGAGAACACTATGCTTCCAAACCCACTAAACCAGACAAAAACACAGATGAGCAAACGGGTGACAAACATAATACCATGCTGGCTGGGAAGAAACATCTGGATCTTAAGCCAAAAGATGACATTTGTTTCACTACTGTAAATAAGACTGTGATTGCAAAGGCTTCTCGTAAATCAAGACAAACCGCAAATAATTCGTCAACAGAAAAACAGGTTAGTGCTCCCCTCAGCACTGTCAGAGCATCTCTGTTAAAACAGAAGTTGAAAGAGAACCGTGAGCGCAAAAAGGATTCACATGTCTTGAAGAATCTTTCTAACAAGGACACTTCCTCACATTCCACTGTCCCTAATCTGAGATTAAGGCAAACATTAAGAAAAGTAACAAATACAACCCCCAAAACTCTCAAAGTCATCTCATCGTCATTGTTGAAACACAATATCAAAGTGAGGCATAAATTCAAGAAAAAGCAGGTCAAAGTAAACACAAAAGGTCCTAAAAGAAGAGGGCGTCCTCCTAAAGCAAAGAAACCTCTGCATGATGAAAACACTACTGCAGGTCAAAACAATGAAACTGTCAAAGACAAAACTGCTCCACAGAAGGATCAGAAAAGCAATGCGCAGCCTGCAAGCCTTCCTAAAGCAGCAGAGACTTCAAATACAAGCAACACTTTACAGGAAGAAGAAAAGTGTGAGCAGATCCAAGATGAAGTCAAAAATAGGGGAACATCTAGTAAAGAATCAGAGTCTAAGAAATCTGTGAACAAGCAGGTTAAGACGAATCATATTAAACAGAAGGGGGTCTCACATAATACCTCTACAGCTATATTGACAGCTAACAGTTTAAATCAATCAGTCACCACCACCTCAGCAGACAAAACACAGAAGTTAACCACTGACAAAATGAAGAAACCGCATGAAGCGAAAAAACGCCCCGCTCCTAAAGAAACCAGTAGTCAAAGTGAATCTTCAGACTTCTGCAAGTCAAAAAAGCACAAGGTTACAAATAGCAAAGCCAACACAGAGATTGTCAAGAAAAAATCTCCCCTCAAAGAACCACAGTCTGCCTCGAAAAAGAATGCCACGTCAAAAGCTGTTGTCCCACATGAGGCCACAGCAAAGAGAAAAGCAGAAAACAAAGACTCCACACAAAACAGCTCTGATAATTCTGCGCCTGCCACTTCTGGAGAGAAAACACTCAAGGTACCAACAGAAGGAAAGTTAAACAAACCACATAAAGAAGGAAAGAAAGAAAAGAAAAACAATGCCACTTCTTCAGACTCAGGCAAGCAAAATAAGAAGCACAAAGACGTTAATAAAAAGGGGGACAAGAAAGCAGTCAAGGACAGACGGCCGTGCAAAGATGCAAGCAAGACATCCGCTTTCAAAAAGGCAGCCAAGTCCAAATCTGTAGACCAGCAGGTTGAGGCTAACACAGCAGAGAGCTCTCCTGGTGTGGAAGGAAAAGCTAAACAAGAAACATTAGATGCCACACCTGACACCCCCTGTTCCTCCATCCCTGCTGCTACAACTAGCAGCTTAGATGAAACGACTTTTCCATGCACTGCCACTGAAGAGAACATGCAGAAAGTAACGAAAAAAGAAAAAGACCCCAACAAAGCAAAAAAGAAGCGCAAGGATGTTCATAAAGAAGGTGCCGCAAAGGCTGTCAAGAATAACGGCAAAGATCAGGGTGTTCCATCAGCATCCAAGAAGCCAGCAAAATCAAAAATTCAAGTCCAACCAAAGCTAGTGGAGAGCTCCGCCGGCGAGGAGGGAAACGCATCAGCGGAAACGGCACAAAGCACAATTAGCGGCGCCGGATACGCTGTAGTAACGAACGGACAACCGGCAAGGGAGGAAGTAAAATCAACGGTGTGTAAGGACACTCTTGCAGAGTATGGGAAGAGGCCATACATGCGTCTGCCACCTACAGCGTACCTGGATGAGAAGTACATCACCATGCCAAAACGGAGGAAGGAGATGCCTTTCCACTCGTCTCCGAGTCCCCCTCGTCAGCAGGCGAAAGTTACCGCAGTTCTGCAGAGACAACGATGTGCCAACTGTTTTGCTACATTCAACAGTGCTGAGGATCTGCAGAGTCATGTCCAGCTGCAGAAGTGTTCCAACCTCTTTGGATTTGACTCTGATGATGAGGGTGAGTCTGCCGCCGCTATTATTGAAATCCAAATCAATGTAAGTGTCAGTTCAGCAGGCTTGAACCTTGACAAAACTGTATTGGCTCAAAAACAAGACAGCTCTGATAAGACGACAAGGTTTATGCTTCAAGGAAGTGTATTCACATCTCAACATGATTTCAGGTGCAAAGGCAAGCGAGTGCCCGCACACTGAATAGATACTGCCAAAAATGTGATTTATTAAGTACAAATAGGACCTTTTGACACAAAGTAGAATTCAACAAGCTCACATATAGACTTCACCAGACCAACCAAGTGAATCCTAGGTTGACCCTACATTTGTTTGACCATCTGACAACAAATTCTGATAGACCGTTGTGGCCAAAAATGTTATCACGATTAAAAAATTTCATATCATTTGATGTCGATAATAATCACAATAAATGTCAAATTATTATTTCTATCAAGTTTAAAGGCTGATTTTTGCTCCTGAGTGAAAGCTGAAGAAACCAAATTGTTAATTGTTGTTTTAAACTGCTTTATGGTCAGAACATGACAAAATAGATACCAATCAGTGGATCTCTTACCAAATCTGAGGTAGAAGATTCAAAACAACTTTGATAAAGTCATTTTTTTTTTTTCAACAAAAATGCTAAAAAACATTAAGGCTGCCGCCACACACCGTAGAAGTCAGTGTTAGACCTGGTACTCTCTGCTTTCAAAAATATTTTCTGTTTTGAATTGTGTAGACCTCAAAATAAAACAACATGTACAAAATTTTCAAAAGAAAAACAAACTGTATTTGGGCCAATGTAGTGATAAATAACGCAAGCACAGATTCCCATTTGATAAACTGATATTTAGTTTTCATTATTCTCTTTCATTTTTTTTTTTTTTTTTTTTCTGTTTCAGGTAACAGTTGAGCATGTCTAACTAAGTCAAAGTGACTGACATTTTGAATGCATAATAGACGGACCTGTGGACCTTAATGGAGCCCCTGGATCGCCCCTCAAAGGATCAGTGCTCTCTGGATGACTTGTTTATTACTGTGGGCAACCAGTCGTTTATGTGGGACTGAAAAGAGCTGTGAGACTTGCAGCATGTGCCTGTGACACGAGGCCCTGGAGAGGCCAGAACACACAAACTAGCCAATCGATAAAAAGACATGGGAACTGACTCCCAGTCAGACTGTTAGCAGAACAGCTAGTACTGAAGTGCCTGCTCTGGAACCGCTGTGCTGTTTCCAGCTGCTTCACCTGGTATGGAGATTATGCATTGTGGTTTAAAGACTGGATTATTGGAAGCTGTGAAGGAAAAAACAACAACAACAAAAAAAAAACTGACGCTAGATGACAGGCTGCTCCTGCTATCACTAGATTCATCACTTTTCACATCAGTAAGCCATATAATTCCATTGTTTGCTTTTTGCACTCTTATAAGATTTCTCAGTTTCTTTCTGCTTAAACTCTCAAAGTGATGCGGATTGTACAACAAATGAAGCATCTAAAAACTCATACTGTATTAACATCCTAAATATAATTTAACTCTGACAAGCTGTAAGATTGCTGTATCATCTTGGGGAACTTTTATGTATAATTCCTGTTTAAATGCTAATTTTATTTCTTATATCAAGTTCCCTATGGCGTGGATTAGGTCTGTGGCTGTCCTCACCATGAGTAACCAGTAGGGGTCAGCGTACATCAATTTCTTTTTGTTAACGTCCTTTTTGCAGCTGAAGAATTCTACATTCAAAGCTGCTCCACTGGATTCATCACTGTACAGACTCAAAAAGCATCTTCACTTCCAATCACATACATCAAGCTGTATTTCCTTTAGCAATAACAACAAACATGCCAGTATCTCACTAATATTTTAACTGATTTCTGTCTCTGAACATGTCTATTATTTGCTGCCAGTGGAGCAGCTGACAGTCTGGCTTATATTATATTTTCTCACTTAAACAGATTTTAAAATAGTATCTTTACTGAACTGTCCAGGACCATAGACACATTGATTTCTCTTTTAAGGTGAGTGTTCTCTTTGAGGTTTCCTTTAAAGAGAAACTGTCATAAACTGCTACAGTTTAAAGTGTCACCAGTCTTTAATGCGCAGCAGCAGGTTATATTTATTTGTTTTATTTTCTATCTTTTGTAAATATTTGAAGAGTTTCAATGGCTTATTATATAAGGGGGTGATGGAGCCGGATTTATATTTTGTTCCTGAGATAAAAATAAAACATTTGAAATGGCATCTATTTTGTTGGCCTTGTTGTGGAATCCAATACACCAGAGAAGTGCATTTTGTTTTTCATCAAGGGCAATGAGAAGTTTATTCTAAAAGTAGGAAATGAAATGCTTCAGCGCACTGGCAACATATTAAGACAGCAGGGTTAGACAGTGGGCTGCAGAGGAAGAGAAAATATTAAATTATATCTAAAGTAGACTGATCCCTCACAGGATAAATCTTCACCTTTTACAACCTTTGGCTAGGGTCTTACAAATATTAAACTTTGCAATCCAACATGTGAAACTATTTCAAAGGTAAAGCCAAGGAGGTGACCCCAAAAGTAATATGTTTTTAGCCAGTGTAAATAAGTTCAGTTAATTTACAAAATAACAAAAGTAATTAACTGTAAGCCCCTGCTGCCCCTCCAAAAAGCACCAGTCTGCACATTTTAAATACTTAAGCTCTGAGCGTTTTCTTGTGAGGGTAGTGAAAATGTAGCAAATCTCCCAGATTGTCTGGATTGAAACAGGCTGCCAATCAAGACAAAAGTTAGTTCTACTCCACTCTCTTTTTCTTACTTCCTTTCACTGTGCAGTTTGAGTTTGAAGAACAGAAGAAGCTCACGACTTTTATTAACTTCAAGCACTAAAAAGACCTGGATGTTCTCCAACTGTAGCCTCAGACTCTCACTGCCTGAAACTCCACTGACATTTCAGGGTAATTTTCTGGCAACATGAGCACAATTTCTCGAAAATGGCATGTAGCGTTACTTTGAAATAAATCCTATTTCTGCCAGTCATTGTCAGTATGGCAGCCAAATTGGATATTAACTGCACAGCCTTGATTTGACACAGTTGTTCACACATTCTACTAAAATAATTAGAGATTTAATATGTTCTAGGGAGCTGAGGCTTTCTATGGCTGATGGCAGTGATTACCATTCAGCCATTTATCACTGTAATCAGCTAATGATACAGATAAACAAATGCCAAAGCACTTCTACAGGCAGACGGTCTCAAGGGCTGGACAGAAAGGCGATCGCTTTGTTTTCCATCTGAGTCAATATTGTTTATTGTGGTAGACACGGATGGAGGGAGAGAGAGACGAGGGAGAAGAAGAAACAGGAGACCATGGGAAGGGTCAAGTTTCCACCCACAGGTGTGTGTGTGTGTTTGCGTGCGTGCCTGCGCACACGTGTGGAGGTACTTTTCTCTGGGCTTGTCACTTGAAACATGAGCAGCATAACGTGCATTTCTCATCCTCCACTTGCCAGAGAGTTAACTGACAATATTTTTTTTTTAAAGGAGCAGTCACAAATTTCAGGATCGTTGTATGTGTTATAATTGTATTATATGTTTTATATTTCTGGAAATTTGGGGGCATAATAAATGCATGCAGAGAGGAGTTAACACTCTACACTATACATATGTATACATATGTAATGGGTTTTTTATGGCTGATTCAAATTTTTGGACTAAATACTGTTTTTATGCAACAAAACAAAATGAAAGGACCGCAGTAGGCCTACTCATTATAAAGTAGGCTATACAAATTGTAGGGCGATACAGTTTTTCAGAAAATGTACCTAACTGAACAGTTAAAGTAAACTGACACTGTAGCTTTTGAGAGGAAAAATAACACTATGCTCCACTTAGAAATGAAATGTTGAATTCATAGGTAATAAAATACACCGATCAGTACATTCAGGGGTTTTGCTGCTACAGCCTTTGTTGATCTACTATGACTGTAGCACACAGTGGCTAATGTTAGCTACCTTTAGGTAAACATAGTTGTAAAATGCACATTACTTAGTCAGTTAGCTGACTTTATCACTCACCTTGTGCTACTGTTACAATAGCTTAGCATTTCAGCTAAATGCTAAACATCTCTATGCAATAGTTTAGCATTTAGCAACCATCACTTGTAGCCGTAGTAGCCGGCGTTCAGCAAAAGTTGTTGCTTTAAATGACAAACTAAAAATATGAAATGTTGCTTTTCTTTAAATACTTTGACAATTTTACAGAGTTTGGTTAGTGTGTAGTCAAACATTTCTTGCATGGTTTGTTCTGCGGGGGGAATTTGAATTTACTTCACTCAATGCAGCATTAAGTTTTTTGCGGTTAGACATGATAAACTAAATAATAATAAGTGTTCTAAATATTTTGACTAAAACATACAACACATTCTTTTTTCCTCACAGGCTGTTGCTGCCAGTCAAAACATATAATATACAACATTAACAAAACAGGGACACAAACATATTAGTCTAAGGCTTTTAATCCATAAAACTACTTTAAATATTTAATAGTAGCATGATAAAATAGTTTCAGTTTATCTCTACATCCATATAGCACAAAAACTACAATCATTTTTACACTGCAAATCTTCATCCTAACATTTAGTGTATTTCGGAGACCTAAAATCATATTCTTTCAAAGCTGTATTAGGTGTCTAAATGAACTGTTAAAATCAATCTTTTGCAGTGCAGACAAAATGGAGAATGTAGAACATAATTTAAATTCTCCATGCTATTGAACTGCTGGAGTATAAAGACATGTAAATAGTTTCATCCCAAAACAATATTTAGTTATGATAGTGACTTAAATACAGTATTTTACAACACATGATTCCAGATTCAAAATATCAGTTTTAAATATGAAAAAGTTTTTAAATTTAAATATTTACAAATAATATTACTTAGAGTGTAAAGTTAAATTACTAGAAGAAACAGAAATGTACCGAAGAGTGTACCCATCAATTGTGATTGGATTCAGCTGTGTGTGAGTGAAATCTTCAAAGAGCAGCACTTCAGTAGAGGCAAGTAGAAACTGGAGGATATAATAGCTGTTTGGGAGTGTTGAAATGAGCATTTAATTGAACAGGGCCTGGCAATAAACCTCTACTCTTAGGGAAAAAATCTGAATGCTGTACCAAAAACCAATATATACTGTCACCGTTTGCACCTCTGCTAAAAGAGGGAGAATAAGGCTCTGGCAACTTCACATTACATTCTGCTAAAAAAATACTTCAACCTCTTAAATATCTCATGACTCAATACTGCTAAAGTGTGAAGTTGCCCACAGCTTATTTAATCTTAAAACAAAAAGCATGGAGTCTGGTCTGTTATTATTTTATTCCACTTTCCATTTCACACAGTCATGAGCGTTGCCTCTGCAGCAGGTCGGTGGTTAAATATCTTGCTCAAACACGTTGCAGCTGGGATGAACGCTGGCTCAGAGTCTGATTGATCCATCCCTTTCCCCATTCCTTGCTGCTGTGCTTTTACGCAGTCTCCAGGTGTGATTGGTTGCTTCCAGTCACAGTCGTGTTATTAGTGTTGGGGAAAAGTCCCAGAGAGTCAAATATCTCTCCTCCTTTTCTCTCTTCAGCTGAGATAACTCCACTTTTATGAGTTTTGCTGCATACACGTGGCTGTTTTGGCCTTTTTGTCTCACTTTGAAGCACTCCCACCCTCGTTTGTGCCAGAGCACAGACAAATGCTTCTTGTAGTCTGTTGTAATCCAGTAAATGTGTAGATCCACCTTCCTGTCCTCCTGTCTGTCAAGAGGCCCTTCCTTGTTCTTGTACCTTTGTTGTCAGGCCAAAAGGTTTCTAACCTCAAGTTGAAGGCCAATAAATGGCGGCATCTGCTCCCCTGTCTGTCTGTGATTGGTTAATTCCACTCAGGCCTCATGTAGTTGGGGATGCACTGGCAGACTTGGGGGCTGTAGTAAAAACCAGTCGGGCAAACGGGTCTGGGTTTTCTGCAGGGCAACCTGTAACAGCTAGACAGAGGGAGAAGAAGGAGGAAAATGGAAGAGAACGCCAGAAAAAGCAAGATCAAGAGAAAGATGGAAAGAAGGAGGCAAAGTAGAAAAAGACAGAAAATGAAAGATGGGTGGAGGAAAGGAAGGGTGAGGTTGAGAGAAGGAGGAGAAAGCAACAGAGAAGAAATAAAAAGAAAACACAGCAGAGATTATATTCTCTTGGCATGGATACTATTGGTTATTCAGATATTCACATCCTTTTTGGATAAACCCTGATCCAAGTTTTATTTGTGCGTGCATCAAGCGATTCTGTGTGTGAGTAAAAAGTATTTCTCCAGAGAGGGGAGGAATGTGGCCAAATTCTGGGAACACTCCTCTTCAAAATCACAGTAGGTGTATCTTCTGTTGTACCACCTCCTGTGACCAGATGTTGAATCGAACATAAAAAATAGACAAAATGATGAAACAAATGATGGAAAAAGGTGTTATCTTGTGCATACTTGAATAATTATGTCCTATACTGCCTTGTCTGTATTAAAGAGCTGAATTGGGTTACACCAGCTATTCAAAAAGCCATAGGCTGCTAAGTTTGTGTATCTTTATCTTTCTCAGATACCACTAGCTAGTTTCAAATTAGTGATTTACTGATTAGCACCATTAAAACTTAAGAAGTAGTAATTTTACCAGTTCGACACAGTTACAGTTAGACTCGTTTTACTGAAAATCTGTTGCTAGCAAAGATAAAAATACTAGCTTATATTACTGTAGCATCCCAAGTTGTAGCATAACTTCCAAAAACTGGTTTTAAGGGGACAAACATTACATTTAACTACTAATCCTTTATCCTAAGATTTTTAATGTATCATTTTATGTGTCTGGTCTATAGGTCTGGTCAGATTTGTCAACCATATTTCATCAAACTCCTTCAAAACAGTCGGTCTTATATTAGCAAGCTAACGTTAGCGTTATTTAATTAGCTAGTTAGCTACAGTACTTTCCTACGCAACAGCTGGCAGTTACCTTAGTGGGTGTAGATATTTAAATACTATAATAGTTACTAGCTAAATAACTATAATCTCTACAAAGAACAAGTTCATGTTGTGGAATCGGTTTTAATTAGTGTAAATCTTCACTTGAACAAATAGGATAGTTTGAAGAATTTGGAACTTTAAGCTGTGAAATATTTGAATTTTACTTGCACCTGCAAGGATTACATGGACAGACAAAATGGAGGCTGCAACAAGAAAATCTAACTCATTCTAAGTCTCAGTTTGAGTACATATCGTATTTATTTCAGCCCTCTTAAGCTGAAGTTGGACACTTAGCCATCAAAGGTCACTTTGGTGTTTATATGTCCATGAACCTTCCCACATGCGTAAAGCCATGATTAAAAATCACTCTTATCAAAGCTATGTTTTTCCTTGTGCCTTGTGTCACTCCATCTATTTCTTAGCCTGCCCGCCTATCTGATGGCTGCTCTGCTCACTGTCATCAAGTTCACCCTGTCTCCATGTCTGTCTCTCCGCAGGCCTCTTGGGTCAGAGGAAGGTTGATCCCTTGCATGCCTGCTGTGGGAACCGCAACACACATGCAAAACGCGCACACGCAGCTGAAATCATGGCCGAATGTTTAAGACACCCTGTGTCCATAAATGGTCATATGGAAACATGCGAACGAAAGAAAATGGAGAACGAAAGATTTTCTTTTTCGAGTTTGGAATGTTTTACATGTCCATTGAGAGTTTGCTTGCTTTCCCACTCTAACTGTCTTTCTGTCAAAGCTCTGGTTCTCACTCTTTCCTCACCCCTGTCTCTTGCTGAGCTCCCAGGGTGAAGAGTTGTGATGGCACCCCAAGGGCCGACCCGGATGAGCTAGCGCCTAAAGCACAGCAGACAGGACCAGCTCTCCCAATGTAAGTTCAGGGATCCTGTAATGAACTGGCATGCAGAAATTATGCTTTTGAGTTGTAGAGAATTTAGAGGTGCATCACAAATCTTTCAAGCTTTGGCAGCGGTCCACTGGAGATTTGAGGCAACTTTACCATATATACACACAATTATTTAACAATTTTAAGTTTATATTGTGCTTAAATGCTTTTATAATTCTTGAATTACGGCTTCTATAATTCCAAATTTAAGTTACTGTAACCCAGGACCTTTCTTGTACTTAGCTACAGTTCCAAAACACTTCAAGTTAGCTTTGAAGAGGGAACCAGATTAAATGAGGAACCGCAAGAGTGACACACTAACCACAGACTGCCTGGTAACAAGGAGGAGGAAATACAAATTATAATTCAAGAAAATATACTTTTACCAGTAGAAACCTGTTCTGAAATCAGCATTGTCAATACAATTATATCTTTGTTTTAAGACACTATGTACTGATGATAGTCATCGCTGTCCAAGAGATCAGGGTGTCCTTTGGCCCTAGAGCACATGTTACATCAGCTACTTGCCCTCTATTGCTCTCTTAAAACTCTTTAGCCTGAGTGTGTTCTGGGCCACAGATGGCAGTCTGTGCTTTATGTAATGGAATGAGAGTATTCATGTTATGGACAAGTGCAGCACAGCAGCAGGAAAATTTGCAGAACTGTGGATTTACATGAGGTCATGGAGTTTTTTTTTTATGCAACTGTGGTAGTAGGAAAAGAGGAACTAATAACTTGAATGAACTGTTTTGACACAACCTGGAAACCAGACTTAGATACTCTGTATTAGAGTTGTGTATAAACACATTATTTTCATTAATACATTTTACAGTAAAGTACAGGATTAATGTTGTTCCCCATACAGACACAAGATAAAATGTTTGTTGTTGCTTATTTGCTTTTTTGGCTTAGGGCAGAGGGGGTTCTAATAGTTAAGGATCTACTTGGCAGAGACCCAGAATGTGGATACTTGGGATAATTTCATCCCCCAAAGGAGACATTCTCTTGTTGCTTGCCCCTTTCCACAGGGAGTGCAGAGCTGTGGAATACAGTGTTTGTTCCAAGGACACTTGAAACCAAGCCGAGGACAGACTCCCGGCCTTCGTGAGCGCCTACCTGCAGGAGTTGGAGTTGAACTTTCTGCCCTGCCGCAGACATGACTGTGGGCTCTCTCTGCACTGACACAGGCAGGTGTCGGGGTTAAGGGGCTGATTCCCGGGGCACTCCGCAGCGCACACGCAGCCACACAGCTCTTCATCCCACCGCTGGCCAATGGGGCACCACTTCCCCTCACCTTGACCTTCACACTGGCATTCGCCTGAGAGAAGAAAGAGTTTAACATAAACCGGGAAAGAAAAAAAACATAAAGGTAATTTAATGAATTGCATTGTGTGACTCTCTCTGTGTTGTTGGGCTAAATGTTTGGCGGTCAGGTTCTGACTTGTAACTGTAGGTATTTGCATAAAGCCCTACTTCTCAAAACTTCCCTCTTTCTATGTTTATAATTTCTGGCTCGCTCTTGCCAACTTGCTTTCAGAATGACAGCCCTGAGCAGTTTGATGTATTTACAGTAAATAGATCCTTGGGAAACCAAGGCCAGATGTAGCTTAAGAAAAACATATATTTTTTGACACATATGTTGTAGTTTTGGCATCAGGCATGAGCACTGATTATGTAAATTGGGTGTTACACTTTGAGAACTCCAATGTTAGGACTCTGGTATCCCCTCCCATTCATTTGTTGTTTCTTCACATCTTCCCAACATTCCTGACGTGCACTTGCCCGACTGCTCCAGGCAGTGGTCCAGGCTGTGTGGTTTTAGTTCTTTAGAACAGCATAATGTGAAAAAAATTCAATAACCCTCCTTACAGGTGTTGTGGTCCAGTTTCCAGCCTGGATTGCATCTGTCCTCAGTGAGTCCATTTCGACAGACGCACTCGCAGGTGGACTCATCCAGAACCCTGTTGGGCCCGCAGAGAGCCAGCAGACCTGAGTTCAGCGCCTCTGGAAGCCATATGGAAATTAAAAAATGGTATTTAATAGTTTTTCCAGCTTTGTTTTAGCTTTCTGTATCTCGAAAACTATGGAACTGCAAAATAGTTCATAGCCCCGAGAGGATGAATCCTACTAACTTTGGTGATCCCCTCATTTGTATTTCCAATCATTCAGACTACTTCCCAGTGGTATCTATTTTCAGTCTCTTCTTTAAAACAATGTCATAGATAAGGTTTGCCAGCTTATTATTAGAAAAAGAGTAGCTGGAGATAGGTAGAGGTAGGCACTGTAGTTTACTACATGATTGTACAAGTAAAATGCCACAAAGACACTTTCACTTCTCATGTTACAGTTGAATAAACATTCCCTCTGGGGGAAGTCGTTTCACATTGTTTCATTTGCCGCCCAGGCATCATCATCATCATCATAATCTGGCTTTGGTGGTGGAGTTTTTGAGAAGGCCTTTGAACCGAAATCTGGCTCACATCCCAAAACCTACTCAGTTTAGGTGTAGCCACATTTTGGATGACACTGCGTTCAGAGCTGGGAATTGTCAGTTCTGTTCACTCGTTCACAGGGCAGCAGGAGAACAAGATCTGCTTTTTAAACACACACTTTTAGAAATAAAAGCACATTTTTTTGTGTTTACATCATGTTTGTGCACTCAACACTGCAGGGGCTTTACACTACGAAGGGACCAGCTTGTGCAAGTTTCCATTGCTAGTAAACTCTGCAGCAGGTGGTTTGCCACTTCCATCAGTGAAATCACCTGGTGTTGTGTTTTTTTCAAGGTTTAAAGTCTGTGCTGTCTTGTATCAGATGTCCCACCTTGAACCTGCCGCACACCATCCACACTTGTGTGACTGCAGTATTTTACCCATGAGGTAAATCCTGTTTTTGTAATGCAACGTACTGTTTGATTTAGGTTTTGCATGTTGCTTGTTTGACATTGACTTTTAATGGCTAAAATTCTGTCACCGCTTTTTTAGCATTTAATGCTTATTTTTTATTTGTTAAAGTTTCAGACCAGGACCCGAAATGAGCCAAGGCCTGAAAAAACTTCCTGCTCTTTACATCTGACTTCCTCATTTAAATAAAGCAGTGTCCCCTCCTGTTTATTTTGAAGTGTTTTAGAGGCCTGAAGTGTGATCTTAACTAAATATGCAACAGCCACAGCAGAAACGTAATCATTTTACCAACGTGACTCATGCACACTCACCAGTCTCTGAGTAGTTTATGGCGTCTGTAGGGACACACACACAGTTCATTGGATCCCATAATGACCCCGAGGCACAGGGAACTTCGGGTGGGGAACACCTACACACACACACACACACACACACACACACACAGACATGCACACACATATTATAAATGCAGGAGAAATTACTGTTTGTAAATGCACACTCCTCACTCTCACTCACAGGTGATCTGTTGCGGCTCGTCTTATGATGGTGTGGAGTGGCCGCTTGGAGAGGCATTCGCACGAAGTGTGGTTGACGAAGGTTACCATGACGACGGAGCGATCCATCCTGGGCGGGGACAGTTCCATCAGCTGGCGAGGAGAAAGACGAAGTTTCAAGGTGGGCGAGTGTGTGATTGTTTACAAAACTGTCTAAAAAACCCTGGTATTACAAGTGTAGAAGCTGATGTAATGGTTGCAAGATTGTGCAACAGTGCACGCCTGTGTATGGTATTGACTTGATGTCCAGTTGCAGCCAAAGGGCGTCCCGCCGCAGTAGGGTGGGTTTGTGATACACATGAGCTCATTACATAACTGGGTAGAGCAGTTTCTGTCCTCTTTCCTGAGGCAGTTTGAGGTGGAAGAGGAGAAAATATCACTTGTATAATGTGAGAAAGTGTTAAATAATGCAAGTGCTAAAATGTGTCTGACGTGGAATTAAACAGGGTAGATACAAGAAAGAAGGAAGGGAATCCAGCTGTACCGTCTTGTTGATGAGCGTGTGACTTGTGTTCGTGCAGTAGAAGGCCTCGTTTGTGCAGCATCCGCCACATCGATGCAGCGCCACACAGCGAGGGAGGTAGAATTGACTGGTGGATTCTGGGTATTCTTTGGCGACCTCAACACACACCTCTCTGGGCTGGCATGAGGTCCGCTGGATCTCCTCTAGGATGACTGAAAACATGTGTGATTAAGCAACAGGATTTTATTTGCTGACACTCTGAATCCGAATACAAGAGAGCTTTTTGGGTTATTAGTGGTTTTGGGATCATCAAACTCTCCAATAATGGATCTAGTTTTCATTTTTCAGTCTTTTTTCCAACTTTTCTCATTTTTATTTTTTTATTTACCACCTGTTTTTGTCTGTCTCTAGTGCAATGAAATCTGTGTGGCTGTACACTCTAGTGTTTAAATATGAGATCTTAGATCTAAACAGTTTTTCACTAAGAGCTTGATTGTTGCACCTTGCATTCAAATGTCTTTTCTCAGAAACCACTAGTTTGCTCTAAATTCAAGCAATGGCAACTGAAATCTTGTACGAAGTATCTCTATGTTTACCTCCCAAAGTCCCGTCCACTTTGTAAAGAGGCTCCTCCCTCGGCTGACCCCACAGATCCTCATCGTTAGAGTGGACTAAAGGGCTTGCTGAGGAGCTGGAAAAAGAAGGGGAAGAGGAGGAAGAGGAGGCATGCCATGATTTCTTCCTCAGGCAGTTCTGCAGCAAACTGTATTCGGGGTATATAAGCTGCAAAAGCTGATCCACACTCGTCACTGTCTTTAAACTGGGCTGGTCATCTGAGAACGCTGGAGCCTGGAAGACAGGGAAAAAAACATATAGACTTTTCTTCATATGATGCCACAAAGCGTCACCAAGAAGAGAAAAATTAAGGAAAAGTTAAAAGTTAAGGAGATAATATTTTCAGAGTTCGTTTTTTTTGACGGAAAACTATTACATGCTGTAGAATTTAAAGTGTCAGCATTGCTGGTTTGAGCTGGATAAACAGTGAATACCTCAGCTACTAATGTGTTGTAACATGTTGCTGTTGGCTACTGTTACTTATTATGGGTACATGTGTCCTCTCCTCACCTACACACACACACACACACACACAGATAGTTGCGTTCAAGTACACAAGAAAGCTGAGTGTGATTTTTCTTAATGCTATTCTTTCACTATTACTGCCTTTTTTTGGGGCACCCTTTCATAGCAGTTCTCTCTGCACTCTGCATTTTAAACGTCACCTAAGGCAATGTGATAAAAATTTGATTACCTGCCCTGCTGTTAATTCTTCCTCCTGGGAGCGAGGGTGGTTGTTTAGTTTCCCAGGCTGAGCAGGGGCAAACTGGTACAGCTGGCATTACCAAAACAGAAACCAGATCTCTGTTGTTATCAGTCTTTTCCATTTATCTTTCTCTCTCTCTCTCACTCACTCTCTCTCTGCCCCCCTCCCTTTCTGTTTCTTTCCATCCATCTCATTTTCTTCCTCCCCTTTCTGTTTGTGCCTCACACAAATGTACACTGTGGTGCGTGCACTGGGGAGCTAAAAGCTAACATCAGCATGCTCACAATGGCAGTGCTAACATGCTAATATAGGAGGTATATTGTTTACCATGTTAACCATCTGATGGGAACAGTAATTATTTAGTCATAAAACAAAGCTATAAACAAAATAAGCTTTTGACGGGGGGCATGAATCCGAATTAATGTTTGCACCAAATTTCATGACAATCCATCTGATAGTTGTTGAGATTAGTCCGTGATTTAGTCCGTGTTAATAGGTTTGGTTTTGTGTTCTGTGTTCTGTAAGCTTTATTTGATCTTGTCATGTTTGGGGTTTTGTAGCTTAATCTAGTCTTTTGTTCATTCGCATGTTGAAGTTTCTTAATCTGTCTTGTCTCCTATCTTAGTTCTTAGTCCTGCGTTTTAGTTGTTAGTTGTGTGCTTTAGTTCATGTTTAGTGTTTTTCCTAGTCTGTGTACTTCTATGTTTTATTATTTTGGTCTGTGTCTTATATCCTTTGTCCTTAGTCTTATGTCTCCATGTTTTAGTGTAGGCCTCCTGTTTGGGCCGGACTCTGTCCATGCCATGATTTTGCAGTCTTTCCATGTTTTGTGTTTTACTTTGGTAGATCTGTCCTCATGTGTTCCGGAGTACTTTACTTCCTGTTTTATTTTGTAATCTTCTGTGCCGGGTGTTCTTGTCTAGCTTTGTTCCTGTTGTTGATTACCTGATGTGTTTCAGCTGTGCTTCCCTCCCTGCTCGTTTGCCTGTGTATATATTGTCCTCAGTTGTGTTCAGTGTTTGTGATGTCCTTGTATGTGCTGAGTGTTCTGTCCCGTCCTGGCGGGGTTTTTTTTGGATAACTTTGTGGATTGTATCTGTTCTTGGATTCCTCCTTTGGATTAAGTTTTGTTTGAACATTTGCTGCTGTACTCCCAGCGTAAAGCTGCTTAGTTTTTGTTTTAATAAATCTTGCAAACACCTTGCCTACAGTCTGCATTTGGGTCCACACCTCAGTTCCCCACTTCTGCACTCAACTGCCTATTACAGAGATATTTCACCCAAAACCACAGTGGTGCTGCAGGAAAAGTAATGAGTCCATCCAGTAGCTGCTAGCATGGACAAAAAATAGTGGCCCATTCGGTACATTTTTCATTCTCCTCATCCTCCTTTTTTAGACAAAAATGGCTTTCAGGTGATGTAACCCTGCCATTGTCTATTTCGACAATGGTTATAAACAGCTGAATGCATTGAATTTTAGTCAACATGTCGCCTAACAAAGTTCTTTAACAGCCCAGCTAAAAACAACATGATCTTGACGTTACTCCTGACAAAGACAGTGACTTGCCTTTGAACGTAGGTTGTTTTACTTTTGCTGGCTAAGTCATAGCTTCACAAATATAATCCAGCTTTACAGTTAGAATGATTTGGAGTAGAACACAAAGTTGCCAGTATATTTACCTTTACTTGTAACATTTTTGATCTACACACCTAGTTTTCCAGGAGAATCTTCTCTTTGGCCAGGTTTTAGTATTTGAGCTCAGCCAATTTACCACTGAAGCCTTCATATCACTGTCACACGGCTGTTGTAGTTTAGAGACATGACTAAAAATACATGTACAAGTGTAACAATACAATTTCAATAGAAGAAAAACCATGACAAAGTCCATTCTTCCATCCTTCCCAGATTTTCTTTTTCTTTTCTCTCGGTCTCTCTCATTTGTGTTAAGTGATCACATGACATGAGGTCATCACTGTGGGACTGAGGTCATGACGGACGAATGGCCAGTGCTGTGGAATTGTTTGAACTGCTGGCACACAGACACATGCGCATGTACACACCCATGCTTTTGTCACTCCCTCTGTCTTCCAGTATAAAGATCTTCTGTCTGAAGCAATTGTTACTCACTGCTTTTACAGATGTTGACAAGGAAGCTTTTAACTTAACCACAGAGACACTTCCACAGAAAAACCCATCAGTCAGAAGTGCCGAAGAAGAGCTGGCACCAAATAATTTCCTGGCTGACACATAAACAGCATTTACAGATCATGTCATTTACACAGAACTGTGCTATTGTTTGAAATGACATCACAGAAAACAGGCTGTAACTGTAAAAAAAAAAAGAAAAAAAAGAAAAAAAAAAGAAAAAAGGAAACATGTTTGGCACTACTTGTATAAGCTGGGACTAAAATGAGACTCACTTTAATTGCTTTAATGGTCAATCAGATTGATTGCGTTACTACTTGAAGGCAGTTAATTTAGTTCATTATAATAATGATAATTTGCTTTATTAAAATGTATATTAAGTGTATGTGTAAGGAAATACCTGTTAACGGGATTAACACCATAAGCCATCTTAAAGATAGCGGGATGAACACATTGGACAAATGTGGTTATTGACCGTAGCAGAAGTCAGCCTATATCTAAGCTTCCCTGTTGTATCACTGGTCAACTCAAGAAAATAATATCCTTTCTCCACAGCAGTCAGGCTTTAAACCTGCTTGTAACAGAATAACTTCTGCAGCTGGTGTTGTGGATAACTCACTTAGTGTCAAGCAACATTGTGCTGCACTCTTTGCAGATCTGTCCAAGGCTTTTGATACTGTTGAACATAATATTTAGCTAAATAAGCTGCTGTTCCATTGGTTCTGATGATTCTGCTTACACCTGGTTCACATTATATCTGTCTGGTTTGGGCTATTGTTGCAGATAGTGTGAAATCAAGTCAATGGTGTCCCACAAGGATCAACATTTAGTCCCTTGCTATGTACTCTATACATATATATACATATTTATTTTCAACTGAGCATTACAATGTCTGTTTTTATGCTGACGATACCATCTTGTATGCCATCAGCTCTACTGCAAAACAGGTTACAGTCTGCTTAACCACCTCCTCACGTCTTTTATTAATTTAAAGCTTGTTCTAAACTCAAAAAAAAGGAAATTTACATTTCACAAGAGCACAGAGCTTTGATATTCCCTCTCCGAGCTGTACTCCTGATGTAAACCTAATAGCTATATCACAACATTATAAATGTTTGTTTAGTTATATGGAAGATTGCTCTACAAAACTCTCACTGAAAAACTAAAAATTTGAATTGGATTCTTATAACGGAATAATGCTATGCTAATGTTACAAAAACCACCATGTAACACTCTATCCTCTCTACATTGGATTATAGAGATATTCTGTGTGCTCATGCAGCCGCCATAAACCCCTGAGGGGATCATTGTGTAAATGAATTGTCTCAAGATGTTGAATATGCCTACTTTGTTTGTCTGGTCCCTCTTGATCTCAATGAGACGTCCTGAATGAACAGAGCTTTACTTTACTTGGCATTCTTCCAAAAACATAATGAGAGCAGAAGCTGCTCCAAAATATCACATAGGGGTTCATTTGTGTTGAGATTGGGGGACTTCTTTCATACCTTGTGCCTTGTATGGAAGCATCTGCATTTAAAAAAAATCTCTCTCCACTAATTTATTCAAATTTCTTTTGACAGATTTGAATATGTCACATGTTTGTAACCAGTAGTAGACACTCATTTAAAAGCTGTAGAAGTTGGTGAAAATCCTCAGGAGTTTGGTCTAAAGCCATGTTTCACAGCAGTATTTGAGTTCAGGCCAAGCACACGTTTATATAGATGATGGAGAAATGAAATGTCTCACCTCTGTGCCCATGTCTCCAGTTTGGTAATAGTCCGGATAGTCTTGTCCTGAGCACAAATTGCTGATATTAAGAATCCATAGGAGCAAAGCTGGCATCCACATAGTGAGGAGATGGAGAGGAGAGAAGATATCAGGACAGAGGAGGAGGAAGTGAGTGAATTTAAATCTGGATGTAAAGGGAAAGAAAAGGAAGGAGAAGAGGAAGGTAGACGAGTCTGAGGTGAAGAGGAGGAAAAGGAGGAGCAGGAGGGTATCACAGACTCGGCAGGTATCTCTTTGCTCCTCTCTTCATTCTATCCTGGGACGAAGTTGCTCTTCTGGCTCAGGTTGTTTGAATTTGGGAGACCAGCTGAATAAAACATGATGAGGAAGTCGTCAAACCCAGCTCCGTTTTCTGTCACTTCAGAGGAAGTCTCTCCTCCTGTCTTGCTGCGCCTCCATTCTCACTGCAAATTTGATGTCAGGTGTCTGTTCACTTCTTCAGATTTGTCTCTGTTTGCTCTTTTATCCCTTCAGTGTTTCTTCTCTCTGCGTCTTTCTTGACCGTCAACATGTTTTATTCCTCACTCTCCGTCTTTTATTTGCAGACTCTCCCATGTATGTCCCTTTTTCTTTCCAGACTCGGTTGTCCTCCTCAGCCTCTTCTCCTCGCCCTTCACTCTTGTGCACCTCCTCGCGTTTCTTTATCTATATTTTCTCTTTACACAACAGCTGTGCTCTTCCCTCCCTCTGTCTCCCTCCCTCTCTCTCAGATTATTGCTGCCTCTTTATCTGTCTCCTGTTTCTTCTTCAGAAACCTCCGGGGCAAAGCTCTCTGTCTGTCTCGCACTCACTCTTTTTTTTTGCCGCTTTCTAAATCTGTCACAACTTTTTCTGTCAGGCTCCTGATCCTTACAAAAGCATCAAAGAGAGAGAGAGAGAGAGAGAAAAAAAAGAGGAAGAGCTAATTCCAAATCCTGCTCCCGAATGGAGTTTTATAAAGCAAGCAGGAGGTTTAAAAGAAAAGTGTCCAGCTTTTGGTATTAAGTTCTTGTCCAAACACAGTGAATGTGCGTCCTGCTCATAGACCTCCTTGTGGAGTGAATGGGAAAAAATACAAGAATGGAAGGATTGTATCTTGTGGGCGGAGTGAAGGATTTGAAAGAGATGATTCGTGCATTATAGCTATATAAATACACTACACCCCCCCAACCCCCCACTAGAAATTGCAGGCTATACAGTGTCTGGCACTGACACACTCTCTCTTAACACATGCCATTATTCTCTTTTTATGTGATTTAACTTTACTGGAGAGGTTATTTTTGCCCCAAATTTTCAGAGACATTCTCTCAGACAAAAAAAAACCCCAGGTCCAGCCTGTCAGGTTATTACTTATCACTCTTCCCTTTCTAACACATTCGTTATCTTTGTCCTTCCATCTTTGTAATCCCTCATAATGGGAGCAGCTGCCGGCGAGACTTTAAAAAATGTGTGTGTTCAGTGGCAGCCCAGCAGTGATGAATGTGTGACTTACTTAACTACAGCTCTAAGTGCCTTTTTATGAGCTGCTAATACCTTTGCTGTCTCTCTCCCTCTGCGCTTGCTGCTTTATGTCAGCTTCCCCCTCCGATTCCTGCTGCTTTCTCTTCACCTCAGTAAGCGCTATTTCAATGTCAAGACTGTGTGTGCATGCGTGTGTGTGTGAGAGAGAGAGAGACAGAAAAAAAGCCACAAATTGAGCACACACCTGCAGCTTCAGACACCTTTTCTGCCTTTACTCCTTTACACTCTCATCGAGCTCCATCCTTGTCTTTTTTCCCTCCCCCCTCTCACCCCTGTTCTTGCTCTTTGTCCCTCTGGTTTGGCCGTTCAAGGTCCTAAAAATGACAAACTTTGCATACCTCCCTAACTATACTGCCCCAAGGCTGCGGGCATGTGTGTCTGCGTGTCATGGAGGATGAGGAGGGGAGGGTAAGAAGGGGTGAACAGCAGAAGGGTCTTACTTCTCTGACTAAATTATGTTTTTCCTCTCCCAGGGCAAAGTAGTTACCGACAACTGCAACATAAATTATGGGAAGACAGACAGACGTGAAAAGACGACAACGAAGAAGAGGAGAGACAGGAGGCCGACGAGGAGGAGGAGGGAGAAAGGTGTGTCTGGGAAACGCTCGACTGGAAAACATCCGATTTTTGGGCCAGTCACTGCCAGCCTTTTCGAGGATTAAAGACGCACACCCCCGCACACACATGCACGCACACGGTGGCAAGTGTCTGCTTGCAGTACGCTTTATGTGTTGAAATCCATGCAACCAAATTCCACATTCCAGTCATTGCTTTCTCCATTTCATCATGGTAGCTCGGAGCACAGGATTACAGACGATAAAGATGGACGTTTATCAGTTTGTAACGCCAGGCCTTATCTTGTTCAACAGAAGTCTATGATGTTTTTGAAGGTCAAAATGTTTACGTTTAAAATGAGAAAGCAGATCACCTTGCACTTGGAAATTAACTCTGATGATGTAGGAGGTGGCATTTGGTTTATCCGTGTAAGAGGAAAGGATTAGCCGTTTCCATGGGGGCTAAAGGGGGAATTTAAACCTCGCTGATTAAATATTTATTGACCATGATCCTGACAACAAACCGAACACAACTAAACCATGAGCAAAAGCCAAGTTATGGAAAGTCTAAAATAATAAAATAAAATGGCATAATTTGTTGTAAAAGAGACACATCTTTTCTTTCCTATTCAGCTTATCTTGCATCCTCTTGGGTGGTCTTCACCCCCGGGCTTACAGGGCGTTTTTCCTTTAAAATGATTCTGTCACCTGTCAATAACCAAGTGAAACTGCTTTTAATACAGGTGCACACCTTGGAAAATGTGACACATTATAGCTGTCTTGAATTGTCTTATTGGAATGCACTGTTAATACAGTCCTAACACAAAAAGGTTTGGAAAAAGCTAGATGAAGTTGTAAACTGTGATAACTGCTTTCATTCCCAGAAATCAGTGTTTTGTTTGTGAAACAGCTGCCATGTCTGTGACAGATGAAATATATGAACCTGCTCAAAATCCAGTTAATCTAACTGAGACTGGTTGCTCTCATAGTTACAGCTGAAATATTTGAGGCCCATATCAGATTTTTCACAGCAGACTGAATAAATAAAATAATTTTTGTGTTAAATCATCGCAGTTGTGATGCAATCATCACAGCTTGAAATTTCAGGCCACTTATTAAAACAGGAACGTCAAGGTTAGCAGTGCATTTATGACAACTAGGAATTGTTTCTGAATAGTAAAAATCCATTTGAACGACCCACCAACTCCAACTTAACAGGTCTGAACTGGAAAGGGAGAGCTCTTCTCTGTTCTCTGTGATGTAATACAAACGCAAAGACTGTTACATCAGCGGGGAAACCGTACCATGCAGTGTTAATGACAATTATTTTTTCTATTTTTCTTAGTGCTCATATTTACCCAACATTAACATATTTATTTCTAATTAATTATATTATACTGTATGTTCCTAAAACTACAGGCTTTTAAAGGATGTTTTATTGACCAAGTGCTATAAAGGTTTAAAGTACATCTCAAACAATACTTACTTCAGTTCTGCATTATAGAAAATAAAACAAAATATACAAACTGCTTTGGAAAATATATTTAATTATATTTCAACCATGAGCCGCGACTCTGTGACAACAGACCTGAAATATTCAGTCACACATCCAACCCACAGCAGTGGATTTAGTTCAGATAACAAACACCTGAACAACACAAGGAACATTAACTGTCGCTTAGTTTCTCCCTTATCCCAGCTGTCCTTGCTCGGCGTCATGCTGCTCCTCTGACTTGACATCCTGTGCCCAGCAGTAGATACAGTGGCCTTTGCACCAGACAGTCCACAAAGCAGTGCCATTGTACTCCATAACTGTGGAAAACTGCTTCCTCTTTTTTTGAGTGTCTGCTGCAGTTTACAGCAGTAGTGGCGTCCTCTGCTATTGAGCTGATGCTGACTCAGCTGGAGGCTCTTCCTTTGTCTGTATGCTTGCTGTATCTGGTCATGGCCTGAGGGCAGAACGGGATGGAAAGTGTTACCAATCGTTAAGTAAGTGATATTTCATGACTACTTGGTTTATATATAAGAAAATAATGGATGAGGTGGAGGAGAAAAACGATGCAACTCAAAGTATTGTGGCGTTTCCTCTGTTGAGTCATTTCCAGTTTTTATTTCAGAACGCATGAGTATCGTCATATGTATACCGTGACACCTCTGACATAACTGGCATTGTTGTGTGAACATAATTTCAACAATTGTTGCTATGGTTACTTACAGCTTAATAGTCCTGACTTGCAACAGTGGCTAAACATATGACCGGACCTGCAGTCATCAAGTAGTTTCCATTGTCATAATATAATTCTATTCAAAGAAGCTCTTGTAAAGAGAAAGAAATGTAATTTTTATCACATCACTAAGCAACTTTACAATTAGTTTAATTAATCAACTTCCTTTCCAGAAACACAAAACCTCAAATTTAGAAATTTTGTTATTTTCCCATGACTTTAAAAGGAATAGTTCTCGTATGTGTCTGTTAAATAATAATGAATAATAATGAAGCTATGACCAGGAGACTTTAGACTAAAGACTGTCATCACCTCTAAAGCTCACAAGTTAAAGCATTATGTCTTGCTAGTAGGGCTGGGCGATATGGCCAAAAATGTTATCACGATAAAAACATTTCATATCATTCGATATCGATAATTATCACGATAAATGTCAAATCGTTATTTCTTTCAAGTTTAAAGGCAGATTTTTGCTCCTGACTGAAAATTGAAGAAACCAGAGGGTTAATTATGTGGTTCAACTTTTCTTCATGGTCAAAATGGGACAAACACTTGATGCAAAACAGTGGATCACTTAAGAAATCTGAGGGAGAACATTCAAAACTATTATGATAAAAAAAAAAAAAATTCCAAATATGATTAGTAAATTTTGTTCATGACTCTGAATTAAACCAAATATTTATTGACGATATATTGAACATTTTTTATATTGATATTGAGGAAAATTATATTGCGATAATTAAAGTGTAAAAATGACGTGCGGTTTTAAACAATGACCCTAATTTAAAGATTTGAGATATATTTTGTGGAGAAATTTATCGTTAGAGATGTCCCAAAGCTTATTAGTGGGCAGAAAACAGTTTACCTGTGTGACCATGCCACTGACGTCACCAGTGTTGGTGGGCAGAAGCACAGTGTTGGACTGTTTGGCGAGGCTGGAGAAAGCAGAGATGTTTTGTTTGGCAACACTCAGCGAGGCTGCAGCACCTCAGTTCTGTCAAGAACACAACCAAAATTCTGGTTACTATAAAATGCAGGGAGTAATACTTTTAATGACAAATAAGGCCGTAAAAAATATACTTTATACCTCTACAGCCAGAGCCTCTGACAGGAGACGGATGGCCTTGGATTTGGCCTCTGCTTTGGCTAACTCATCTTGGGCCTCACCTAGAGACAACACAGCATGACAGGGTACAACAAAAGTAGATTTGTCTTGGATTCACAGTACATTGGAGGTTTTAAAACTCCTTTTTCAACATTCCTCTTGATGAAATGTGGTTGCAAGTTGTCAGTCTGACTCATGAAATCCTTGTGTTGTAACAGTCTGCACGCACGTAATTAAATGCTTTCTGGATTTAGTGTAATGACGGCCTAAGTCCTACATTAACTAGACCTTCAATTACATACGTGTACAGAGTCAATGGAAAATCCCAGTAAAACAGTTTCTTTAGGTCAAAATGCACCAACCGGCTGCTCTGTTTATCTGCTCGGCCTTCTCTCACTCCGAAGCGAGTATTTGGGCTTGCTTGCGACCCTCTGTAACGTTGATGGCCGCCTCCTGTGTTGCCTTAGACGCCAGCATGGAGGCTCTCTTCCTGCACTCAGCCTCCACCTGCACAGGAAACAAAGAACAAAGAAGGATGTCAAATGTTTCTACTCCAGAGAAACACAATAATCCTAAAATCACCCAGTGGTTGGGTGTGACAGTATTAACTATTTATCACTGTACAAACAACTTCTTTAAGTTTATATACTACTACTTAGGTTACGTGAAAACGAAAAGGTACTGCAAAGTATATTACTAAATGCAGTACCCCTGAATTATAGGGATAAGTTAGCTGCAAGCTTGATTTTAAATCTTGTTAAACCGTTCAGGTTATTATTTCGTGTGTGTGTGTGTGTCTTACCTGCATCGATTCTCTAACATTTCTGTTTTAATCTTTGATTTCATAACGCAGGCAGCGGATTCCTCACTTGTCTGACGCCTGGTTGATGGCATGGATGATGTTGGAATTAAGAGATTCCCTTTCCTTGAACACCAGAGAGGCAGCGGGTTAAAGGTACTTAACATGTATCATCATTTTGTTTCAATGTAACACACACCAAGCAGTGCAGATGTTTCTTACCCTGAATACTTTATCCATGGTGAGTTTGCCCAGTTCTGAATGCATTGTGGTTTTTGCTAGCTGTGTCACAGCATAGTCTGGATCCTCTACACCATAACTAGCCTGGAGAGACACACAACTCATCATTTCATGAATATCAAACTAACTGCGCCACCTGCTGGAAAAAACACAGTGCTACTTGATTACTAACAAATTTTTGTAAATCAACAGATTTTTACAAACTAGCCAATTAGCCATGCACAGCAGTTAGTGTAAGTCGCTTTAATTTGTTTACATTGCTATGATTACATAGCAATGTTACAGTGAATGCCACTTTAACATGTTTTGTGTTTTTAGAGTCATGTTGGAAAGGTTTGTTACTGCAAAAAAGTGCAAGTAATTTAAATAAATGTTTTGTTTGACACACACAGAGTTAGTAATTACTGGTGAAGCAAAGGGTTATACACAGCTCACTGAATGTGATCCCCTACATAACCAACCAGGTATTGGTAACAGAATGAAATGCTAGTACTTGCGTAGTGAGTATTTCATCGCTACTTCTTATCAACATAACTTTTAAAGGATCTAAGAGTCGCAGAAAAATAATCAATTTGCAGGGTCACATTATTTAAAGACCAAGAAAATATCAGTTCATTCCGCCATGAAGATGTTTAATTAAACCAATAGTAAACACAATTGTTTATGCCATTAGTTGCCTTAGTTGTAGTTTTTTTAAAAATGCAGTAGAAAAGATCTCACCTAGGGAAACAGCTCACTGTTCAGGATGTCTATGACAGTCTCTTTAAGGCTTTGCACATAACGAATTTGGTCAAGCACGGGAAAGAAGAAGTTCAGTCCCTATAAGAATCTACAAAACAAGTATTAGTGCTCCATTAATTTAAACCTTTACATAGTTGAAGTGTGGTCACAGAGAGAGATAAGCCTCCTCTGTACACAATGTTGTTGAACCCTTGGCTGAAAAGAATGAAAGCGCCCAGCCTCTGGACCACCCAGCCCTCCTGCTGCGGCTAAACAGGACCACAGGGTTCATGGGTAAGTGGGAAGCCCATCGTTGCTGGGCTGGGGCCACACACAGTCTGGGCACACTCTGCAGAGACAGGAGACACAGATGTACAAATCAGTTGAGTTTTCCCAATTACACCCGCACCTTTGGTATCGGTGGTATCTTACTTGTGTAATGGTTTTTTTTGTTTGTTTTTTGGTATCAGTGTCCAACACCTAGTTATTCAAGTAAATGCATGGCTCTTAGTGCTGGAGCT